AATCACTGCTGATCTACCCTTATACTAGCCAAGAAGGTAAGTGTTAGGTGAATGGAAATAAACTTGAAAACTAGTTCATGTATGGAAACCCAGGACATCCCTTCAGCAAACCAGAAAATTCCCCCCTAATCTGAAGGATTCCAGATTCAAAAGATTAATCCGTATAAAGCTATAGATGTACAGAAATTCCACTACCTTGATGAAAATATAGAATTTTTATTTTGTGTCCCATGCCTTCTTCACCCTCTTTAGGAGAACCAATCAACCATGTTAGGCAAGCAGTCAGCCTTGATGATTTTTTCAATCACTCAACAAACCAGCACCTGAAATCTTTCATGGGCTAGTTCTCTGAATATCATCCAGACACAGCGGGGTTAGCAATGGTTCTCCCAGGGGCCAATGACCAGCCTTTACCTCCCAGAACTCATAGCCCAGCTGATGGTCAATTGGCACCCTAGGTGAAAAAATGAGCTGAGTTGGACAGTTCTATCAACATGAAAACGGCCAGATTCACCTGCCTGAATTTCACCTCTGCTAAAAGTTCGTTATGAGCACTGAAAACTACCAGATTTATAGGCACTTAATATTACTCACTAACAGGCTGAATTATGAGCAATAATAATAATAAACAGAAGGAGCACAACAGTAAACCCATATAGAAGGTATTTAGAAGAGATTCAGAGTTTTGTGTTGATTAATCAGTAAAAGGCAAATTAAAAAAAAAAAGACCCAAAAAAACTATTTTCAGGTATTTAATATATAAATAATTTAATAATAAATATTTATTTCAAGTAATAGATAGCTACTCCTAAATAGGTTTCCCACCTTACATAGGATTTAGCATGAAATAATTTAATAAGCCAAAGGTGGGTAATTTTTGTTGCTCAGATCCTCATTAAACCTTTAAACCCATGTGAAAATGCTCCTGCAACCACTAGGAATTTTATGAAGAGTAAAAGACAGGATAACATAAAACTCCCTGACCCTTAAGTCTCAGCTAGTCCAGACTTTCAATTAAACGTGCCTTTAGAGGAGATAAATTCTATAGACAAAGCTACTATTATTTATTTTACTTAATAAATGTATGGAGAATGGAGATGTTGACTGGGTAAAGGCAGTACTTTTATTATACTCAGAAGCATCTAACTCTTATTAAATCTTTTAAGACACACCTTACCTGCCTGAGTCCTAAACTCCTACACCAAATCCACCAATTTCTACCTCAAAACTGTTAAAAAAAAAAGGAAGTCATAATTTATCAGTCATAACCATTATTAATTGCAAAGATGGCAAGGCCATACCTTTAAAAAAATACAATGAATCACTTTTTTTTACATATCTTTGTTATTCAAATACCATTCTGATCACTCATGATGCAAGAACATTCAAATAATAAATCAAAAAGAAACAGATGTTAAAGACTGGTTTTCAAACATTATAGCCAATGATGCCACACTTGCCTATAAAACCATATCCACACCTCAGTGGCCACCAAACCATTCAGCAGAGCTTCCTTAACTGTAAGCTGTTTGAAGATAACCAGTTTGAGCACTAGTGACTTTTTCCCCCAAGCTCTGAATAGCTATAGGGATCTCAGCAGGGTTGAAGGAGCTAGCTCAATCACGGTACAGCAGTCCTTGGATTACATTGCCATCTCCTATCCTATATAATCCTATATAATAAAGATGTAATATGCAAATGGTCATTACATAATGACAGACCACATTGCCACCAGATCATGGATCAGCAGGAGGGTGGGGCAGGGAGCTATAGGGGGGTAGGTGCTTATGTAGGTGGGTTCCAACTTACGGGGAATATCGAGTTACATCGCGCCATAGGAACGGATCTCCAACGAAGACCTACTGTATTCTGCTAAAATGTAGTCAATCAAAAGTAACAGCATCGCCGAAACCGGTTTGGCTCAGTGGATAGAGCGTCGGCCTGCGGACTGAAGGGTCCCGGGTTTGATTCCGGTCAGGCATGTACCGTCTATCTCGCTGAGCTAACCCATAACACTAGGTTGGGGGCACATCTCCCATGGGAGATGTGATCGATGTTTCTCTCTCATCGATGTTTCTAACTCTCTATCTCTCTCCCTTCCTCTCTGTAAAAAATCAATAAAATATATTTTTTAAAAAAGTAACAGCATCTTTATCAGCGTGCATGTGTGTGTGTTGGGGGAGGGGGGTCCTGGTTATGGATAAATTGGACCATGGTTTTAGGATGGAAAGTCTCTGAATACTACTTCTTGTACTTTGAAATTGGAGATCCTGGGGAAATCAATAGCCTTTTAAAAATGATTCAGCAAACACTACTAAGCCATAGATGATGCTACTCCCAAGAGATATTTACTTCCCATGTCAGATTTAAAATATAAAGCCCTGTACTAACATGCAGTATCTAGTTTTCAGTGACCAGCAACTACAAACACCACTCATGCAATGTATTTAACATTCAAAGTCAATTTCAGACTTTAGGCATATAAAAAAAACCCTTAATTTTGGTAAGAATTCATAGCCCCATCTCTGAAATATAAAAGCCATCATAAGACAGCACACAACTTGGATTTACTGCTGTGCAAGTCTCAAAGTCCAACCTAAATCTTTAATGGTAGCCTTACTGTGACGTAAATGGGAGTGCCCCTCAAATAATCTCTACTAGGCAAATGAGAGGACATGAGGCTTCCTGATCTAAAGGAGATAAAATCTGGCCACCCAAAATTTTGAAGTAATTCTTTAGCAATGAGTATGCAATAGCATGTTTCACATTCAATTCAATGGTTTGCTCTAGGCCTCACATACAACTCCTGAGAATCTTCCAGTTTACTTCACTGGTAGAAATTCCGAGACTTAACCATAGTCATGACTATGTAGGAAACTGAGCAGTCAGGTATTCTAACTGAAACAATGAGGTCAAGGCTTATTTCAGTGTGAGTTTAAGTCAGGGGTCCTCAAACTATGGCCCGCAGGCCACATGCAAATACAAATATTGTATTTGTTCCCATTTTGTTTTTTTACTTCAAAATAAGATATGCGCAGTGTGCATAGGAATTTGTTCATAGTTTTTTTTTAAACTATAGTCCGGCCCTCCAACGGTCTGAGCAACAATGAACTGGCCCCCTGTTTAAAAAGTTTGAGGACCCCCTGGTTTAAGTGATTCTCTGCAGAAAGATCTTGATTGGAAATGCCAAGTACTAGCCTCAAATCTGCAGGCTGGCACCTCAAGAACTGCTGCAAATTCTATTGCATGCCCTGGCTTCTTGGGCCAACACTACTTAATTACTACTCTGATACAATGCAGATCACTCTCAGCAAAAGAAAAGCAAAAGGGGCTTTTAGACCAATACTTCCATTGCTTGCTTTCAAATGTTCAAATCCTCAAAAAAGTGAGAATGTCAACATCTTAATTTTAAGCTAATGAATTTATTATGAACCAGAGACCAGTTGTTTTTCCATTATGAGTGTCATGTGAAAAGAGTATCATTTTCCCAAATATTACCATTAGCTTTTTGTCATCTTTCCCTTTTTGTCACTCCCAAACAACAGTTACATTTCCCAAAAACCTATGAAGTAGAATATTCTTTTACCTTCTTGGGCTAAACATGAGAAACCAATTTTGGTCACTTGCTTGATAGCAAAGCATCAAATACAAGTCAATTCCTATGGATTTCAATATCCTTGATATGTACAACCGGTGCTGACTGCCACAGATAATCTGCTCCAATCTCATAAGACATGTTTATGGATGAGGTAAACATTTAGAAAAACATTAACGCAGAACTCTTGTGATACTAATATCCTAAAAGGGGATGTGTAATTCTCGTTTAGCCACAGTACATTTGTGAAAGTTTCAAATGCACAAAATATTAGAGCAAAATTATCCAACCATTTAAAAAAAATGTCACCAATACTTTGATCAGGGATAATAAACACATGAAAAGAACCAAGTCGACAAGTTCTCAAACCTATATTGTGAGGCGGTTATTGGGAGCGCACAGCACTCAACCATTTTTCCTAAGGATAAAAAAATCTAAACTTAAAGACAAAGCCTTCTTTCACATCATTGGCAGAAATAAAATCCTATCCCCACCACTTCATCTTGCGATTACAGAAGTTACTACAAAATATCAACATGGAAGACATGGTCCCTGTTTTATTCCATTCTTAATGTACCCTCTAGGAGTAAAACAGGTTACTCAAAAGATAGTAGCCAGAAATTGTTTTTCCCAATGCCCAACTCCCTGTTCTGGGAAATTGGAAAGGGGGTAAGCGTGGGCGGAGTTGTTCAGCAGCAGCCTGCCTTCTCCCAAGGGTTCAGTGCCTGGGGCGTTCAGGGCTCCGGGGGGCTTTGGACGCGATGCTTCGCGGCGGCTGTGCCGCCTCGTGGAGTCTCCACATCCACCCAGTCCACACTGACAACCGCCCTAGCTTTTATCAGCCCCTGAAGGTGAGCTTTTTAGGCTCGGTCTCCAAAGTTTATCCAGCCTCCGATCATCAGCCACCCACCCGCCCGGCCGGTTGAGCCCCAGGTAAGGTTGAGTCCTGCCCTCGCCTCAGGCCCCCTAAGCCCCCGAATCTCCTTTTCGGCCACCTTTTCTGCCACGGAGACAGGTTTACGTTTACCTCCATGTGCTCGTAGCAGAAGAAACAAAAGAAAGCCACCTCCCTGATCATAAAACGCCATCTTCGACTAATTGGCAAACCGAGGGGCCCCTCGGTCGGTCCCCCACCATCCGGCCCTAGACACTCCCACCCGTCTCAGGCTGAGTTTAACGGCCCCAGGAAGCTCAGCTTAAATCGTCCGGGGTGATGGGGGGTGTCCTCTGAGAGCCCTACCTGCCTCCCACCCTGGCTGCCAGGGCAGCATATTTCAGTGAATATTAAAAGGTGGTGTCTCCCACAGATGCACTTATCTCCGCAGAAAACTGTTCTGAGGGACCCAGCGGAGGGACTGACGAGCCAGCGAACCGGCCCGCGTGGAGCCGCAGCGCGTGTACTTACAAAGCGATTAAAGCTCCTGCGGAACATCGCGTCCAAGGCTGGGGGCGCCGAGCTGCGTTCTGCCGGGCTGTCTGGGAAGGTGCCGTCCACAGAACACACTGCAGC